GACTATCGATGGGATCTCCACCCTCATCTCTTTGAGAAAATCTATACATGGCCAGATTAAAGAATGAATTCGAGAAGTCACCACTACAACCAAAGTTGCTTATGCAATAACTGGACGACTACTTTGCACTTTGGTCTCATGGCACAAAAAAATTGGATGAGTTCTTTAGTTTTATAAATCAACTTGATGAAAGAATTATAATCACGACTACCATTCCTGGATATTGAGATCATTCGCTCCAACAGATACTCAAGAAGAGACTATTTAGAAAGAAATCACATCGGGAATAATCCTCAATTTCCAGTCTCTTCGCAACTACACACTGAAGATCGGAATAATGAGGAGTATGGTCTTTAGAAGCTTAAGATTAACGAACACTGGGTTTTTGAACGAGGAGTTGTCGAGACGCCTTAGTAACGGATACCCTAGAGGAAGAAGTATAAGAGTCAAAGCGCATATTTTAACTAGGATTTCACGAAAATAAGATCAGAAATAGAGAGGACGACAAAAAGTGGATATGCTTTCTTCCTGTGTCAAATGAGCTAAAATTTACTAAACAAATGGAATTCTAAGGTGTTAACAAAAGATTAGACTGCATTCTTCACAGCCCACTTGCGCTACACTATAAGGTTTATTAATTTTGCCTAATAATGGCTAGACTTTTTAGCGATTCCGGTAAGTATTTTCATCTATGTATTTACTATAATTATGATTATTCTTCATAACCTTTATAAAACTTTTGCTATTACCCTCTATTTCTGACTTCGTGGACGACTTGATCTACACAAAATACAGGCGCAGTGGTTGTCGTTCGTCTTCCATCTGTTTCTGCATCAGTTCAGCCTCCCTCACTATCTACCCGCCCCGTTATCTGTCAATCTGATGAGGTTGGTGAGATATGTCTTGCTGCTGAGTATACTGGTACTGGATACTGGGGTCTGAGGGGGCAGACCGGAGCTCATTTTCATGTCGAGCCTCTACTTCCTGATGGCAGTCTCGCCGCACCTGGCCGAGGTGGATTCACTCGATCAGGTCTCATCGGTTTTCGTGGCCCTGTGTCTTCGGTATGCTTTCATGAATCAATCACTTAATATTATTACGTGCAACTTCACTATCACGAATACATACAGATAAGACTGAAAGATTATCTTTCCTATTCTACATATTTTTAGTTTTGTTTCTGAATTCATTTTTCGCAAATAGTGATTAGCTTATTTACTATAAAAGTATGTAAACTTAGGCAATCTCATCCTTCATTGAATGAAGCTAGAGAAAGTAGTGCAATTAGATTTTGAATGAGGACAGATTGGTGGTAAATTTGGTTTTTATCCGTCGATATTTTCCATGTTGGTACTGACTTAGATATGCATATTTTTATTATTTTTTTCCTTGTTGACTATCGGATTCTATATATCCTACCCTAATAGGTTGGAATCTTCACTCTCTTACAGCAAAGTAGCTTCCCGACCTGAATTTCTTATTCTGCTACATCACTTTACAAGGAAGCACATATTTTTGAAACCTTAGTCATCAACTTACTTTGTAGTAGTAGCTGTTATAACCAACCCAAACTATATCCGACATCGAATTTTTCTACCAACACTGTCGCCTTACACAAAGACTATTTACTATCTCCTCTCTTTTTGACTTGTTCTCTGCGACTGCTGACCAAATGCATTCTCCCCAACTGCACACAAGTTTGCCATTGAATCTACCGAACTGACCTATCACATCAAGACAATTCATACTCTTAACAGTACTTAGAAGCTGACATACACACATACCGCACATTGGATCAAGCGGAAAGTATTCTCAATTGAAGTGGCTTTCTCTACGGCATCATCTTCATTGCAGAGATTGTGTCTTGTCTTGCTCACTGTACTTGTCTGCCATAGTAGTTGTCATGATTCCCAGCATCTGACAGTGGACTTGATACATTCTATTTGACGAGTTCGTATATTGGTGCGGAGAATGGCAAAGCTCACTGAGGATGCCGACTACGATGCCGGCGAAACGTTTGAGAATGTATTAAGTCCACTGTCAGATGCTGGGAATCATGGTACTATGGCAGACGACTTCGGACTAGATGGGTTCTACATAGTCTCCCTGAAAACAAGACCAAGTTGCGACGAGGTCAACCCACTTCTCTAAATCGAAAGGAGACTGCGACCATACCAGAAGCTACAACATCTTGGTCTTCATATCTTCAGGAATAGGAATGATCAGCCATGTCTTGTAACTTAAGAAAGTTAAGAGGTTGTTTTGCCTTGTTTTCGCAACTTGGTCATATTGGTATGTGTGCCAACCCACAAACATTGTGGTTCAACATTGAACCTAATCAAAGCAAGTAGTACTACAAAATTTGTGGGTTGGTACACAAGAGACTAGGGTATGGGAAGTCATAGACTTGGTATTAGGGATAGAAACAGGATAGGCGCGGCGGAGACTGGAGCTAGTTAGTTGACAGTAGGCTTTACCAGAGAAGTAGTCCATGTAGAAAAGGCGTGACCATGATACCATGAGGCTTTAGCCTCGAATTAATCACTCAGACGCAGAGTGTGGGAAATAACGCCTCGAGTAGCACAGATGAGGTGGAAGAGGTCGAGTGAAATGCTTGAACCAGGACGATAGCAGACGGATTCTATAGGGTAAGAGGGAGACTGTGATAAGACCTACGGAAGGAGGACTGCGTAACAACATTCCCAGCACAAGGATGAAGGGTAGTGAGAACGCCAGCGTGGGGTGCGGAGGGTTCTCATGAAAGCCGCTCAAAAAGTCACACAACACTAGATTTAAATATTGCTAGGGGGACTTTTATTTAGTATGAAAGTGAATAAAAAAGATACGTTGGTCGATCTCATCAGATGAGGACGGAGGAATCTCTTTGTACCGCAGCCGTTTGGCTTTTATACGGTATTCATGTTGATGCAGTCTCCACGACTCCCTCCCTCGTTTCGGGTGAAAACGTGCTAAGCTTTCGTCCATCATATGATGGACATCATCAGAGCTGGGT